TAAAACAAATGCACTGAAAAATAAAAGCAACTTTCATAATTAGTTTCTTACTAATTTCTATACTTGAAAGAGATAAGCACATGATCTTTTATTTTGACGGAAACGGCATCGAGCTTTTATTTTGGCGAAAAACATGGTTTACAAACTCGTCTCATTACAATTCTAATAAAATGCCTAATCGTCAAATATGCAGATGTGGAAATAATGCGTAACTGGGTAACTGGTAGTGGGTTTCTACATAGCCTAAGTGTTCTGAAAGTAGCCTAGTTCTGCTTACCACAGTTCTGCACTCACTCATCTCTCTCCTTATCCTCCTCACTATCCTCATCAGCCACTAGAAGGGCCTTTGAAGTTTATTTTTTTTCACGCTATTTCTCTGCACATTCCTTGCGTTTCTTCTCCATCGCTCTGAGTATTTTGACAGATACACACCAGTCTATGATACACACTGGCACTGCTCGCTCACTCAGAGCTCAAAGGGGGAGGTGTTTAAAGACGTGACTGGACCAGCCCAGTGTCAATCAAGAAAATAACCAATGGGCCGCTGATCTACACGTTTCATGCACCGGTCTGTGAGATAAAAAATAAACCTACGCTGACTTGTCCAATGCATTACACCGGCACAAAGATCCCAGTGGCGCCAATTAAGCAAAACTAAACGCAATGGGCCGCCGATGTACAAGTTCTATTTCACTGTTACAGACCGCCAGAGACGGTCGAACATAGTGGAAGGAGTCGCGTCTCGCGAGCCATATCGAGAATCTCGCATTGATTTGTCACCTGTGACCCTGACCGATGACGTGTCAGCAGCTATATCCGCTCCGTTCACGTCACGGTCGTTCTCTTTGTCATTCTCGCGAAGAGATCTCGCTCGAGCGTGCACAGCGTTTTTGGTGAGCAACTGCTCCCCGCTACAGCTGTGTCTCGGGAGAAATATTGTATATATTTGGATATATTTGGATATATTTTGACGTGCATCGGACCATATACCCACTGGTTGTCCAGGGTTTGTTTGGAACCGATCGCTACCAGCAGTGTTGAGGTGAGTACTCATGTGAACTCAGTGGTTAACCAGGGTTCTGTTATACTGCGTGTGGTATTGTATATTGTTAGAAACTGCTACTTTACGTTATGCTCATTGGTTAACCAGAGTGATACATTGATAAACCTTATTGTGGATAACCCCATTGGTTGACCAGGGGTTTTTTCAACTAACTGGGCTGGAAGTGATGGCAGCTTCATGTTCCCTCTGCTTCGGTCCAATGGATCTCATGGATGCTCATATTCAATGTCCTACTTGCCTAGGCATTGATCACCTCCGAGAGGCTTTAGTAGACCCATGTCCTGAATGTGGTTTGATGTCCTTGGAGATGAGACAGCATCGACTGGCTGAATTAGACCCTGAGTTTGAGAATTCTGCTCCATCAGCTGGGACAGAGTCACATGTGAGTAGCAAGCGTGTGGCCAGTGGGACTGGAAGGCCTTCAAAGAGGATGCGAACCTCCTCGGAGTCAAGTACATTGACCCAGCAAGTAGCTGAACTTGCGAACGCAGTTCAGGGTATTAGAGACTTATTATCTGTTCCCCCCACTCGTCAGAATGTGAGTGAGGGGACAGGGGGGGGTGGTTTAGCTCCTCCCTTGCCCATGTGTGAGCTGGCATCCAGGTTGTCCAGGAGAGAACCAGACACTTTATCTATTGCGGCTTCTGACTCCTTAGACCGGGAGGAACAGGAGTATTATACGCCAATGGAGGAGACGAGACCCTCACATTCCCAGGTCCAATGTTCCCATAGCGACGACGGTTCTGGCCTTCAGGATGCGCCGCCTTCAGTGGTTTTCTCTCTGCAGGACACACTCAGGATGGCGCTCGCTAAGCGGAATTTGGATCCACCTCCTCCCCTATCAGGCCAGTCAAACCTCTTGCGTCGCCCAGTTTCCCAGCAGGAGGATTTCCTAATGCCGAGTTGTCCTGACTTCACAGATGTGGTTTCTTCAGCGTTTCGGTCAGCTCCCTTATCCAGACCTGATCGTGTGGCTCGTACGCTAGCGGCAATGGCTGATGCAGACGAAAAGGGCCTTGGTAACATGCCCCCAGTGGAGCCATGCATTTCTTCACTGGTAGTGTCACCAGATGAGGCTCTTAGACACAATCTTCGCTGTCCCAACCCAGAGTGTAGACGTACAGATGATCTGTTGGTCAGGATTTATAATACTGTCTCAGGCTTGAGTCGTGTGGGGAATTCCATGGCTCATCTTCTGCTGGCACTTCATTCTACTTTGAGTACTAACCCACCAGATAATACCACATCTGAGTTACTTGAGGCTTCCTTACAAGCCTTGGGTTCAATCGCATTTTCTAGCGGAAAGGCTCTTGGGCTTACTACTCAGGCTAGGCGGCAGGTTTGGCTAGCACAGTCTAAACTTCCAGAGGCTTGCCGTAGCAATCTTCGTCAACTACCTCTGGTACCTGGGCAGATTTTTGGTCCAGCCGCTCAAGAAGCTCTTGAGCGCAGAGTTCGTGCGGTGGAGTCTCGGTCCCAGCACTTTGAGCGCAGTGTGAATTATGGACCATCCTCACATCAAATACCTGTTCGTCATGCAAATCCATTCCAGTGCAGGCAGGGACAGTCTTACAGGCCTGTACAGCAGGCAACTCGACCTGGGTATGACTCGAGAAGGGAGGCATCCCGTGCTCGTAGACCACCTGCTCGCCCTGTGGCTACTTATCGTCGTCCCCCCAGGGGTAGGGAGACCGCTCCTCATCGTCGGTGATGGTCCAGGGTCTGTGATGGGACACTTTTCAACCTCTCAACTACAACTTTGGAGAGGGATTACGAACAACAAGTGGCTCCTCGACACACTCGACAGGGGCTACTGTCTTCAGTTCCGTCACAGACCCCAATTATGCACACACACTCGGCCCACAGTGGTTCGGGACCCTCGTCAGGCTCTTGCTCTATCTCTCGAGGTCCGGAAGCTACTGGAAAAGGGTGCGGTAGAGCTAGTAAACCCCCAGGTCCAACCGGGGGGATTTCATTCAAAGTACTTCCTAGTTCGCAAGAAGGATGGAAGCTTCAGGCCAATCTTGGACCTCAGACGCTTGAACAGGAGTCTCAAACACCTTCCTTTCCGCATGCTGCGTGTCAAGGATGTCCTACAAGCGGTCGAACCCGGCATGTGGTTTACCTCTGTGGATCTGAAGGATGCATATTTCCACATCCCCATTGCACCTCATCACAGAAGGTTTCTTCGGTTCACATTCCAGGGCAGGACATACCAATATCGAGTCCTACCATTTGGCCTCTCCCTCTCTCCCCGTGTATTCACACGGTGTATGCAAGTGGCACTAGAACCTCTACAACGGGAGGGCATGTTGATTCTCCCTTACCTGGACGATTGGCTGCTTTGTGCCAGATCACCTCAGCAGGTAGCCAACAACACACAGCGCCTACTGGAGCATGTTACTGCTTTAGGACTGAGGGTAAACCTGGAGAAAAGCTGCCTTACTCCATGCCAGTCAATATGTTTTCTGGGATTACATCTGGACTCCAGAATAATGAGGGCTACCCTCACAGCGCGCAGGAGGCAGGCTATACAAGGAGCCATAGCGAGGTTCCAGGTTCGACGCAAGCTACCTTATCTTCACTTCTTACGGCTAGCGGGCCTTCTCACGGCAGCCTCATCGGCCATTCACTTAGGACTTTTACACCTTCGTCCTTTTCAGCGTTGGTTGATAGCCAGACGGTTGTCAGCAGTCCACAACCGACAGACCCTTGTTGTGGTGACAACCAGTTGCTCTGTCTCCCTGAGGCTTTGGAGACGGGAGCAATTTCTACAAGGGGGTGTACCAATGGGACCACCCCCAGCACGCAGAGAAGTAGTGACAACAGATGCCTCTCTCTCCGGATGGGGAGGGCTGTGGCAACACCAGGGCGTGCAGGGGAGTTGGACCTTGCAGCAGGAGACATCTCACATCAACATCCTAGAGCTATGGGCAGTGCTTTTCACCCTAAGACACTTCAGACAGGAATTATCAGGGAGGCACATCCTAGTGCGGACCGACAACACCACAGTGGTGTTTTTAATCAATCACCAAGGGGGCACGAGGTCTCTACCTTGCCTTCGACTTTCACGAGTGCTGTTGTTGTGGGCAAACCAGCACTTCCTGTCGATCAGAGCGGCACACATTCCCGGTCACTGCAACAGTGTGGCAGACTCACTCTCTCGATCGGGTCCGAAGCCAGGGGACTGGTGTCTGCACAAGGCGGTAGTTCAGTCAGTTTGGGGACTTTATGGGACCGCAGCAGTCGACCTCTTTGCCAGCAGGAATACAACACATTGCCCGCTGTGGTTTGCAGAGCAGGAGGAGCAGGGATCACTAGGCCAGGATGCCCTGGCCCACGACTGGCCAGACCTCCTCCTCTATGCTTTCCCTCCAATTCCACTTCTCTGGCCTGTGCTGAGGCGTGTGCAGATGAGACGACACAGGCTTATTCTAGTGGCACCCTGCTGGCCAGCGAGACCATGGTTCAGTCTGCTGATGGCCCTTACGACCGGTCCACCACAACCATTGCCAGTTCGGAGGGACCTACTGTCACAAATGAACGGGGAGCTTTGGCACCCCTCACCGGGCAGGTTGAGTCTATGTGTATGGCCCCTGGGGTTGAGCAAGAGCTCTCACAGTGTTCCGCAGATGTGAGGAACACTGTCATGAATGCAAGAGCCCCATCAACACGTCGCACTTATGCCAGTAAATGGAGAATCTTTGTTTCATGGTGTACAGATCGGTCTGTTAACCCAGTCACTTGTTCCATCAGTTCAGTGTTGGAATTCTTACAACATTTATTGGACACTGGGCGGTCCCCAGCGACTCTAAGGATATTCGTGGCAGCCTTGTCAGCACATCGGAACCCCTTGGGGGGGAAATCAATTGGTGCGGAAAAGTTGGTGGTGGCTTTCCTTAAGGGAGCAGTACGTCTTAATCCACCGGTACGGATAATGCATACCCAGTGGGATCTTCAGATGGTGCTTAACAGCCTGCGTTTACCACCTTATGAACCACTTGAACAAGCTGATATTAAGAGTCTTTCGATGAAGACTGCTTTTCTCTTGGCTATAACGTCAACCAGAAGAGTAGGTGAGCTTCATGCTCTCTCGGTGAGTCCACAGTGTCTCAGATGGGGGCCCGAGTACAATCAGGTTACACTCTGGCCGAATCCAGCTTTCCGACCTAAAGTGTTGTCTGACCGCTTTGTGAACCAGCCCATTCAGCTTGCGGCATTTAATCAAGAGGCTTCCCAGACAACTGTGTGTCCAGTGAGAGTATTGCGACAGTATGTGTTGAAGACTGCTTCATGGCGCACCACTGATCAGCTGTTTGTCCGTTTTGATGCCTGTCAGAGGGGCTCACCCTTGTCGAAGCAAAGGTTGTCTCATTGGGTGGTGGATACCATTATACAGGCATATGATTCGGCTGGTCAGACAGTTCCAGCATCTATTAAATGCCATTCAACCCGATCAGTGGCTACTTCTTGGGCAGCACTACGGGGAGTGCCCCTTTCTGATATATGTGCAGCGGCTACATGGTCGTCACCTTGCACGTTCACAAGATTCTACAGGATTAATGTGGCACCTATTCCTTTGGTCAGTTCTGCTGTGTTAGCGGACAGTATCTAGGTGAGCGGCCCTCGTGACTTGGTTGTATTCGTCTTCCACTATGTTCGACCGTCTCTGGCGGTCTGTAACAGTGAAATAGAACGCCGGTTACTGGTGTAACCTTGGTTCTATGAATAGTGGAAGACCGCCAGAGTCTCTGGTCACTCGGACTGAGAATGACTGCAGAGAACGACCGTGACGTGAACGGAGCGGATATAGCTGCTGACACGTCATCGGTCAGGGTCACAGGTGACAAATCAATGCGAGATTCTCGATATGGCTCGCGAGACGCGACTCCTTCCACTATGTTCGACCGTCTCTGGCGGTCTTCCACTATTCATAGAACCAAGGTTACACCAGTAACCGGCGTTTTATGGGCCGTTCAGACAAAAAAAAAATAAAAAAATTGAACTATGATATATCGGCCCACAAAGCACGTCGGTCCACCGGGCAAATGACAGGTATGCCCTATGGCCAGTCCAGCCCTGAATACAACCCGAAACTAAAAAACAGACCCGGCCTTTATTTACCCAAACCTGTCGCCACACCAGGCATGTAAAAGAGATAGGTGTCTATTTCTCGGCTATTATTTGAAGTTTACGGTACGAGTGGGAAGCAATGGTGGAAGCAAATAGTTTTCAATCATGATAAATGTATTTCTGAATGCCGACAGTACAATGTAGTTTGTACGCATTATGTGTAGGCTACTGTTATTGAAGAAGAAAGATAAAGTTTGCCAGAAAACACTACTAGCCAGTTTATGAGCTGATGGGCATGAGTGACCAAACTACATTTCCCATCATTCTCTGGAGCAGCATAATAATAATAATAATAATAACAACAACAACAACAACAAAAACAACAACAACAACAATAATAATACTAATGAAACACATATAATGCACATTATTTAAATTTTCTGAACTTGTAAAAACAAACTTCCCAGGAGAGCTTGAATGCACCATATGGTGGTGTGAGGTCCAAACAGTTTGTTGCATGAGGGCAATACCGTGCCATAGAGCGTTAAATCTTCATGAGAAAGGACACATAAGAATGTTTTGACAGTTTATGCCTTTCCATTACACAATATATGGCATTGCATTATTGCCTAACACCTTTGTGTTTCTCTTGTAAGTCTATTGGTAGAATTATTCAGAAATCCAACTGAAAAGTTTTCAGTTTAGTACAAACGTACACCCACTGTGTGTCAATTATACCGGCAACATATGAAAATGCAAAAAAGAGAAAGAAATAATAGTAATAATATTTTTTTAAATGATTGAATAAATGAATAAATTAATTAATTAATAAATTAATGAATGATTGAATGAATGAATGAATGAATGAATGAATGAATGAAAGAAAGAAAAAACGTGTCCAACAAAACCTCACTATTCAGAAACCTCACTCTCAGTAAAATAATGTGTTCTTTCAACACAGAATATGTCTATATAGGCAAACATGAATATACACAGAAGTATGAAAAAAATGTTTTCCTGACAATGCAGGAGTCCTTTGTGGTGGATAGACGTTCATGTTTGGAAGGCAATACATATGTTTCTTTCTTTTTTTATATATTTTTTCTTTGTAGTTATTTATCATAATCGAGACGCTGTGTCGATGATGCTCTGGGAACGCCTCTGTGTGATTGCGTCAAAAGCGCGTGTGTCAACTAGACCAATTCTGTTTACACCTTCATTTAAACTTTGTTTAAATTAAGCAGGTTACAACTATTTGATCTTGGATTTATTTTATATTTAAAATAGATTAACTTTAATCCTTTTGCTCCAGAACTTTAAACTCAGATTTAAATCTCAATAGTGATTTACGTTGTTAATATGTTTAAAATTAAGTGGTTCAAAACAACTCGACTTAAAATAAAGCCCAGATCAACAAATCCTAGATTAGCTTTAAACTGTGCTTAATTCTTATTGGTGCAACAATGCATTTATTATACAATGAGAAAAATATTTTATTATTTTTTGACAAAATTATTACATTATAAACATTTTATTACATTAATAATGTAATTACAATATGTGTAGTTTTATATTATGCTTTATTTCATTATGAGTTGCTTCAGAGCTGTTAAGAACAAGATGAGTAAAAGAAAAGCAATACAATTTTAAAATATATATTAAATGAACATTACAAAATATAAACCAAGCAGCTTTATGTTTACCTCCAGCATTAACTAATTTCTGCTAATGCTTATTAATATAATATTTATAATTAGTAGTAGTTATTTATCTCAGATTCTCTAAACTGTTAAACAATGATATGTGTATGTTTGTAAACTAAATACAATAAAGAAAAATATGATATACGCTTTTTGGGGTCCATTTTTAAAGGTTTGTTCAAAAATACAAATTCTGTCGCACCCATGTTGTGTGACTCCTATAATGAACATAATAAAAAAAGAATGTGTTTATGTTTTTTTGTACATACAATGGAAGTCATAGGGGAACAATATCGGTTCTACTGGTTCCCAATATTCTTAAGAATATCTTATTTTGTGTTCCACAGAAAAAAGTAGTCAAACCCCACGTAGACCCTAGGGCTTGGTGGCCACATACGTGGACAGCACATTTTTGCTCTTATGTCCACAATTGTGTTCACTGCTGAATTGGTGGTGTTATGGACACGTATGGGGGTACTTATACTGCCATCTGGTAGTGTCAGAAATTTATAACACACTATGGTCAAAATTCAAAATGGCGGCAAACACAAGGAAAGATTCAAGTGGTAGCTCCATACACAAACGTCGACCAGTTAAGAAGTTCTGTCATATTTCATGGCTTATTCTGATTTAGATATTTATAAAAGCCTTGTATATTTGTCATGACATGCAAATTTGAAAAAAAAGTGCAAAACTACCAACTTTGTAGGTCGCTAAACATGAAGTACACGTATGTGTACTTATGGACTGAAGCTCCTCGAAACAGCTAATATGCTAGTAAACATGCACACACATAAAATGGGAAAAAAGCTAGCTCTGATGCAGCTAAAAAGGTGCACATGGTCCCAATGACATAAATAACAATTAAATCACTAAATACATACGTACATACTTAAATTAGTTGGGTTGAAAATGTTAGTAAAAATGTAATATGCTAGTAAAAATGTGCACATGTAAATTAGCTTGTGTATTATCCCATTGGAATAAATAACAAATAAATAATGCAAACCTACATAAATTAAATTAATTTGTATTTGATTTTATCATGTTTTTATTTCCAGAGCGTTTTTTTGTGCAAAGAGCATTGGAGCTACTTTGGGTTAATTGATGGAGATAACACAGATTTGGATGTGTCTGATAACGATGATCCCTTAGAGATGTCTTATTGATCACAAGTTCAGTATGGTGTACCACAAGGCAGAAGACTCAGTACTAGGACCGTTGCTGTTCACTCTATACATGCTCCCCTTGGGAGATATCATTAGGAAGCATGGCATTAGTTTTCACTGTTATGCTGATGATACTCAGCTCTATATTTCTTCACGCCCCGACGAAACTTGCCAATACAAAAAAACCTAATGCATTGCTGATATAAAAACTGGATGACTAGCAATTACCAACTTTAAAACTAAAAAATCTAAATTACATCATGTGCTTCCAATGAAAAATGTGGAACAGTTAGTTCATTACATCAAGGCTAGATCATTGTAATGCTCTACTGGGTGGTTGCCCTGCACGCTTAATAAACAAACCTCAGCTGGTTTAAAACGCAGCCACTAGAGTTCTTACCAGAACCAGGAAGTATGACCATATTGCCCGGTTATGTCAACATTGCCATGGCTCCCTATTAACCATCGTATACATTTTTTAATATTGCAATGTTTCCATGTTGTTTTTACTCTCTGATAGTCAAAACATGTTAAAAAATATGTGTGTATGTGTTATTAATACATTAAAAAACAGTCAGGAAAAAAACTGCTGTGTTCAAGGCAGAAATAAAGGGTTCCCTTTCAAGGGAACTTCGAGCTGCGTTTGAGACGCGGTGGGAACGCTCTGCGTGATTGCGTCATGAAGCACGTGTAAAATCAGTCCAATGGAAGCCCGATACGTCATGGGTGACGTCATAGACCAGGAAACTATAAAGCACCCTTGAAAACAGACCGTGACAGCTTCTGTTGTCTTCAGCAAGCGCTCTCTGTGATTCTGTCCTTTTCTATTTATTGTTGTTTGTCAAGCTCAATATATATATCACTATCTATCATTATGGCGAGCAAAGCAATATTATAGACGTTGTGTTGTTCCCTGCCCTCGTTACATCACGGGTGGGGACACACATCAGCTTTTTGTTGCTGTTTGGGAGTGGAGCATGCAACAGTCATTTCTCGAGGGATCTGACTGTGCATTGCGAGAAGCTGTCCGTGAGGACGCTCCGCTCCCGCCGGGCGTTCTTCGAGGAGGACGGTTCGGTTCGCGTTCCCCGAGCGGGTCTCTCTGTTGCCGAGGCTCGGAGACGGCTCGTATTTCGGGGTTCGAATACGGATCTGACAGCGGGGGTTGGGACGGGCTCCGCCCTTTCTCAGCTTTCACATGCCAGATCTAGTGTGCTGCGATTTACAGTTCCGAGGAATTGGTATCGTTAGTGTTTTGTTTAAAAAGAAAGAGAACAAAACAAATACAAATCTTTATAAAAAGGCAGATGTTTGAGTTTTCAATGAATAC